TGGGTGCCACAGGCAGAGGCTGCCCAGTGCTGAGAGCAGGGGAAAGGTGCTGGGCCCGGGGCCCACGCTGGAGCGGGCAGGCACGTGACTATCCAGGGCCCTCCCTTGGCCCACTGGCCGCCTGCCTCTGCCGGCCAGGCCTGCACCACCCCAGACCCTATAAGGCCTGGGAGCTGAGAGCAGAGCTGTGCTGCCTGTCACTCCAGGGGACCCTCACACGACCCAGGTAAGCAATGCCAGGGTGAGGCTGGCCTCCGGGCGGGTATCGGGGGACTTCTCAGGGTTATGGGTGTGGGGCAGGAGGCCCGGGACCCGCCATTCATGCCCCCTCTCTGCCCTTCCAGCTGCTTAGAGAATTACCATGTCTGCTCAAGATGAAGGACGCCGGGATCCCCCCAAACCCAAGGGCAAGGTGAGGGCAGGCGTGGGAGGGAAAGATCACAACTGGGGCCTGGAGAGACCCCAGAACCTTGGAAAGGTGACCTCCACAGTCCTGGGGTCTGGAGGGGCTTCCTGGGGGTGTGTGGGGGAGGGAGGGCTCTGAAGGCCACAGTGCCAATCTTCCCTCCGGTCCCAAGCTGGAGGGTGGGGGGTGGGAGGATGCACTCAAGCCTCAGTTCTTTCCTTGCTGTGTTACCCTGTGCTAGCCTCGGCCCCTCTCTGAGCCTCAGTTTCCCCAGCTGAGAAATGTGGGCCACGGAAGGAAAAGGAGAGAGACCTAGAGGATGAACTTTCTCTCTGTCCATGGGAGGCAGGCTGAACCTGCCCATTGCTCAGGCAAGGAGACTGAGGCTCAGAGTGGCCGAGGTCATCCAGGAGCAAGGCCTGAGGTGGTTTGGGAACCCAGGGCTCTCTGATGCTCCCCTCACCCCACCGCCACCACGGCCTGGCTCTGCTCATGCTGCCCCCCACCCCATGTAGACCCTGGGCAGCTTCTTTGGGTCCCTGCCTGGCTTCAGTTCTGCCCAGAACCCGGTGGCCCACGCCCACAGCTCAGCGAGAGAGGCCCAGCCGGTCGCCCATCCCACAAGTGCTCCAGCCGCCGAGACTGCCCAGCCCCAGGCTGAGGGTGAGTGGACAGCTCCATGGAGGCGGGAGCTCTGGAGATGGACCCCTGCAGGGACTTCTGCCCATCTTGGGGGTGCTTCATAGGTGCCTGCGTCACCTCAACAGACCCCACGCAGCTGGCGTGCTCATTTAGCTCCAGATGGGGACCTGAGGCATAAATATAAGTGGCCCAAGGGGGCACAGCCAGCAATGCCCCCCACATTCTCAACCCCCCCGTCCACCTTCCATCACCCCATTTCTGACGCCCTGTGGACCAGGGGCTGGGCGTTCTGCATGTCTAAGCTCATCAAAGATTTTGATCCTGGTTCCAGAGAGGGGCAGCAGCTTCCCTGGCGCCACACAGCCTGCTCAGCTGGGGTGCTTGGGGCAGCCCTAGCTCCAAGTCCTGAAGCGGGGCTGGTGCAGGGGAGCTCAGGCTAGGGCGGCCGCTCTGGGCCCGGAGCCGGAGGCAGCTGACTTCTGCTCCACATACCCAGGCCCGGTAGGCGGCTGCCAGCTGTGGTGGAGTGGGGCAGGGCGGGGCCCCACGTCCTCTCCCTGCATCACCCTGGGTGGGCGTCCAGCACCCAGGACCCAGGCAGAGAAAACTCTAGAGAACCCCTGCTCCAGGAGACCACCCCTGGGGATTAAGGGAGCCAGACCCATGGCCGTGGATGTCACCTTCTGCCGTCCCTGGCAGGGCAGCTGGGACATTCCTGACCTTTTGGGCTGTGCCCACTGATTGTGCAATGGGCTTCAGGGTGGCTGATGCCAGCGCGTGTCCCTCCCTGGGTTGCCTGATTGTCTTTTGTCCCCACAGTGGCCACCGACCCGGATCAGACGACCAGGGGCGTTGAGAAGACGCTGCCGCTTTCAGACAGGGTGAGAGGGGCTGGTAGAGCCTGGTCTGGTCTAATGGCCTCCGCCTCCCCTTGGGTACCTCCTCCTGGGATGTTTCAGTTCCTGCCGTCTGGGGGTTGTCATAGGCCAAGGAGCAGGCAGACACCCCAGTGGGATTCCAGGCCAGTCTTCCCCTCTGAGCCTCTGTTTCTACATCTGTGAAATGGGTGCAGTACTGCCTTACTGCCTGGCACCATGAGGCTCCATCCGGTCTACAGACACCCGCCACCCCCACTCCAGTTCTGTGCCTAGCACATTACGACCCAAACAGTGGTAACTCACTCACCCTGTGTCAGGCTCTGGGCTCAGTGTTTACATGTGCTGCTTAATAGTTAAGCCTCCCAACCATCCTGCGAGGAAGGGAGCAATAGAACCCCACACAAAAGCTGAAGCACAGAGAAGCCAAGCCACCTGCCGCAGGTCACACAGCAAGACATTGTAGCATGGGATTTGAACCTTGGGCAGTCAGAGGCTGAACAGTGGCCAACGATGCATCCACCGTCGGTCCTGGATGACCGGGGACCGCCCATATAACCACGTCCCCAGGGCCAGGGCAAGCCGAGTGGCTGATGTAAGACTGCTGAGGGCCATAGCAGGATGACAGAGCCCTGATACAACCCTTCCGCCCAGCACACACCCCACACTGGAGTCTTCCTCGACTCCGCTCTGCCCTGAGCTCGGCCAGAGCTGAGCATCTCAGAGGGCAAAGAACCACCGGGCTCACCCTGTGGCACAAATTAAAATGGACCCCGGCAGCTGAGGGCCCCCCTCCCCACTTTTTCACTCCTCCCCCTCCACCCCTCTTCACTTGCATTAATGGAGCACCTGTTCCCTGCAAAGTGCTTCAGGCACCTTGACTCAGTTTTCTCTGCCAATCTTTGAAGGAGGTGCTGTTTTTATTGTTTTTGTTTGTTTTTTTAAATGGCTGGGAGGGGATTATTTTATTTATTTATTTATTTATTTATTTTTGGCTGCGTTGGGTCTTCGTTGCTGTGCATGGGCTTTCTCTAGTTGTGGCGAGCGGGAGCTACTCTTCGTGGCGGTGCGCAGGCTTCTCATTTTGGTGGCTTCTCTTGTGGAGCACGGGCTCTAGGCACGCGGGCTTCAGTAGGTGTGGCTCGCAGGCGCTAGAGTGTAGGCTCAGTAGTTGTGGCGCACGGGCTTAGTTGCTCCGTGGCATGTGGAATCTTCCCGCACCAGGGCTCGAACCCATGTTCCCTGCGTTGGCAGGCGGATTCTTAACCACTGCACTACCAGGGAAGTCCAGGAGGTGCTGTTTTAATTGCCACTCTTCAAATGAGGCTCAGAGAGGGGATGTGGCTTGCCTGAGGTAACACAGCAAGTGTGGGAAAGAGCTGAACCCAGGTCTCTGTGGGCAAGATGCCCACTTGAGACGATGCTGGGCAGGAGGCAGGTGGTGAGAATAACATTTCAGGGCTTCTCAACTTCAGTCGTCTTGCCCACTCAGGGCCGGGTCATCCTCTGTGTGGGGCCGTCCTGGGCACTGGGGGTTGCTGAGCAGCATCCCTGACCCCACTCACTCACTCACTCACTCAATGCCAAGAGCACCCTCTTCCCTGAAGTTGTGATTGTCACAGATGTCCCCAGACATCGCCCAGTGTCCCCTGGAGGGGAGGGGGGCAGGATCACCCTGGGTCACCCCTAACCCTGGGTTAACCCCTGAATTGGAAATAGGAAACTGCTGGTTGAACCTGGGTGGTGGCAACCCTGAGGCCATCACAGCCCTTCAGCAGTTTGGATGAACAAGAGGGAAACTGCCCTCATTTTTGACCTACCGAGTTATCGACAGTTTCCTATGGCTCAAACCCAATACTTGGCCCTGTACTTTTCCAGTTATTACTTTTCTAAACATAGATACCCAGATCCCCTTCTCTTACTTGAATACGTTCGTGCTAACAAGCATTTGGCCTCCTCAAATTTCTCCCCATGATGGGGAAACCTGTCTCAAAATTGCCATAGGGATTAGGCAAGATGAAGAAAACATGTAAGTCAATGGCTTACTGAGCACAAGGCTAAGGGATATTGAGCAAGGAGGGTCCCAGAGGTGCTAGGGAAGAGCTGTCAGCAGTGGGGGATCTATTGTGTCAGGGGAACCATGTGGCGCTGTGACAGAGCTCAGTAGGCTGTATCCTGGAAGCCAGGGAGGGAGGTATGTCGGGGTGGGAGGTGAGCAGGCTGGGCCTCTGGGAGGAAGGTCCCACTCCCCGGGGCATGTTAGGGATGAGGTGGAGATCTGGGGAAGGGTGGGGAGTGAGGTGTCTAGCACTCTCTGCTTGATCACGAATGTCCTTCCTCATCAGGTCATCTCCAGGACAAATGACCTAGTGTGGTCCAAGATGACCAGGACCAAGGATGCCTTCTCGTGTGGGATGGCCAACGTCGTAGACACAGCTAAAGGCGTGGTCCAAGGAGGCCTGGGCATGACCCAGTCCACACTCACAGGCACCAAGGATGCAGTGTCCACTGGACTCACAGGGGCAGTGAACATGGCCAAGGGCACCGTCCAGATGGGCATGGACACCACCAAGACTGTCCTGACAGGCACCAAAGATGCAGTGTCCACTGGGCTCACTGGGGCAATGAACATGGCCAAGGGCACCGTCCAAACTGGCATGGACACCACCAAG